GACTCACCTCATGAAAATGATACCTTCTACGATGTTTTACAATTCCTTTAGTGGCACTATAGAACATGTCCATCAACATTGTCTTCCCTTCAACATAGAAATGAAACCACATAGTTAGAGAAGTGTTAGATATTTGTAGATATCTTTATTTATGATAATTAGGAAATTTTTGGGATAGTGTTAGATATCCGTAGTTATGGTAAATTCTCATTTCTATGATTTACATAATTATGGTAATTAGGCAATTATTTTCTCTGTAATTATTGGTGATGCTATATAATATGTTTCATAGAGTACATTGACACATAAATTCAGTCATCTCTCTTGCTCTTTTTTCTACTCAACTCAACATGATATCTAGAGCCTAATAGAGACAATCCTATATCATGTCTTACAAGTGGATCCAATATTCATCATTATCGTTTTTTGGAAACCGTGTCTCTCCAGTTTTGGGTAGTGCCACCATAGTCTTTTATTGGCACTGTTTTTCCTCCCTTATGGTATTGCTGCTGTTGCTGTCGCTGCACCATTACCCACCTGTCTTTCCGAGCTGCCATCAATGTTATTGCCTTCCCTTGTGTGCTCTACCTTACCTTGTATTGCACTGCCCATTCTGGAACCCCTTATCTTTTGTTTTCCCTTTTATTGTTGCTTTACAGTTTGGTGAACCATGGCATCTTATTCTCTTCTCAAGGCTAATCTTCCTATTTTCAATCTGTCCTTGCTTCACTCTCTATGGACAAGTTGGATTGGATCAACTATGAAATTTGGGTTTCCGACACTAAACTTTGGCTTAGGCTCAAGGTTATGTTGGTCACTTGACCTGATAGTTAATTCTATGCCAAAGCGTGATCATTCTGGCTGAAACAAGATTGATGTCCAACTGTGTAGTGTTCTAAAATCCAACTTCAATCCCTCTTCAAAGCAGTTAATGCCCACAAGACGATAAGGAGTTTGGCAATTGAAAAAGGTTTTCGTGTAAGATATTGGAAAGGCTAAATTCATGAATGGGACATTGTTGAATGATATTTGGTGGGACACAATTGATCATATATTTCCCTTCTGTACTCCATTCTACGTGTTAAACTATAGAAAATGTGTGGGTAAAACTGTGTGTTTCCCTCTTCGAGAATTCTTTCATATATATATATATATATATATATATATATATATATATATATATATAATACAAACTAATATTCTGAATATATCCTAATAAAAGAGAATAAAAGTTACAATTGGTTTTGATGACTAAATAATTTGGCAATCAAAGCTGACAGATTACGTAAATAACAGTTACGTTGACACTACAATGTTCTCAGAAGAATGAATATGGAAGCTTCTTTTCTTAGATTAGTGTATGAAATGAAGGATTTAATTATTCAAAAGGTTAGGAAGGTCATATAGCAATATGAAAGAAAGGTGCAAAGTGAGAATCGACCTTTTAAAAAGTACTGCATTCCATATAATCAATCATTTGACTAAAAGGATCACATCTCTTTGTGTTTTAACACATTCCTCAAACCCAAAATTATTTCCCTTGTTGGAGATTCCACTTCATTTAGAGATATGTTTAAAGTGCAATATATAAGTGATTGTAAATCTCATCTTACCCAGTTTTGTACAGCTAAGTTTAAATCCATTTTTAAAGATCCCTAAAATATAATTTACTAATTTTCAAAAGGATCAAGTTATATTCCAAGAGTAACTATAAAAAAGAGTACTTTTGTTGGATCGAGCGCTTAGCATTATACCAAAAGTAATAATTGATAGTTGAGGTACAATTTTTTCTACTTAAGAGCGCAATAATTGAAGCGTCACAATTCAATTATGACTTGACTCATCTAACCGTCACAATTCAATTATGACTTGACTCATCTAACCGCTGTCCTGGACAATTGATGCAAGCTGCAACAATCTCCTCGTCAATAATTGTTCAACTGGGGAATTGAACTCAATTGTGACTTTTCCTACCTGACCTCTATCACAGGATAATTGATACTCGCAATAATATCTCCCACAACAATTGCTCACCAGGAATCAAACACATGATATTGGCATTGATACCATTTAATCCATGGAGCGCTTGCTACTAGGCCAAAACTAATGGCCAATAGTTAGGGCGCATGACATTCTACTGAAGGGCATAGTTCCTACCTGTCACAATTTGATTGTGACTTAACCCACTCACTGTCACGAGACAATTGATGCAACCTGCAACACTTCTCATTCTAACTCTTCATTTTTTTTATAATTTAATTACTCTAAATATAATTCATCATTGACCATTAGATAAAAAGATAATGTAAAGTTAGGATGGGGAGTAACTATTATAAAATACTATTGGAGCAACTTGATCCATTGTTAATTTTCATTCTAAAGTTATACAAATTCATTAACACATCTCTTTTATATTGTCGATATTTTAGTCATGAATGGAAAATGAAAATTTCAATTGAGTTCCTCCTTATCAAAACAAGGAAACTCATGAGAGGATGAAATTCTTCAAAAGGGACTTTGTTGATGTAGATATAAGAGACAAATAAATGTGGAGCTTGCAAACATCGTGTATGAAATGGAAGGGTTTGATGATATTCACTTTTTAAGTGATAGAGATAAATTGCATGCAAATCTTGGTGTCTTGTTCATGGTGCTTATGCATCAATACTTCAAAAGGTTGCCCTTGAACTAATTGGGAAATTGTGTTCATTTTCATGTAAAAGAATTGGAGCAATCTCTTTTATTACCCATTCTAAAAAAGAAACAAGAGGATATATTATAGGGCAAAAGATCTAGCATTTTTTCATGGCATATATCACCTTCATTCAAGAAATTCTCCACTATATCATCTTAGAAGAAACAAAAATGTTGGACATAGCAGGAGATGAATTTGGATAACTTGATAAGTATTGAATAGTAGAAGTTGCTAAATTATCCGTCGATGAATTGCAACCAATGACTACATTTAGGTCTTACATAGATTAGAAAGGTGTATAGGATTTTTCTTTCCAATGATGATACGTCTTAGTATTTTTTTAGACTCTTTATCATGTAGAAATTGTAAAGCTTTTTTAACAACTTGTTTTGAGGTAAAAATATGAATCTTAATTCTCAATTTAGACTTTGTATTGTCAGTCACATTTAATATATATATATATATATATATATATATATATATGTACACACACAAGAAAGGATCCACTTACTCAGAGATTAAGAGTAAGAGAGTTACTTTTCATTTATTTTTTTATAATTAATGGTTAAGATAAATTACTATTTTAGACTATCAGATTACTAAAAATTAACGGGAGAGGATGAAGAATAAGTCGCTGATTCTTACTCTATTTCATATTTTAAAATCAAATCAGGCTAATATAAGTTTGCATCAAAGGTAAACATAAACATCCAAAAGAAGAAAAGTACATGAGGGTAAATACCACTTCCAACATTGCCATATATGTAGAGTCCTTTAGGAGCTGGAGGAGCAGTTGGACGACGACCAACTAGTGAATCCAACTTCTTCTCACGTTTAAGATATGATACCCATTTCCCTACCCCTGGCTCCATATTTGCTGGTCTTTTCCTGAATCACGGAAAAAGACATGTAGCTTCAATACATGTCACAATACAAGTAGCTTCAATCACAAAAGACATCCTAACCAAGACAGAAAAATGAAACAAAATCCGCAGTAAGCAAACAAAAGCTGAATTTGAAATTACTAGTATCATAGCAAATCCACAGAACAATGAATCACATTGTCTCAAGCCTCCAGTGGAATCAAAACCATGTTAAATTAACCAAAAACTCACCGGGATGCCCATCTTTCAGTAAGCTTATTGTTCAACCGTTTCCACCAGTCCTCATCCTTCTGGTGCAGCTCAACTTCCTCCATAAGAAGTCTCCGCCGCTCATTCTCCCGCTGCTTCTCCCAATTAGCTAGATTCACCTACCAATAGTGAGAACAAATTCAAAAACCAAGCATTGCGACCATAAATTTAAAAGAAAAAAACATGCTAGCTACTACAACAAATGAGTAAGTAATAGAACATCCAATTCCCATTATACATGATACGCCTCCATATCTTTCTCATACTGCTCCAACCTCGCAAGCAAACTCTCAAGCTCTGAAGCAACAGTCTCTTGGTAAGGATCGTGCTGCAACTTCCCTTGATCAACTAGACTTCTGTACTGCACAAGCAGCCCTGGAAAACAACAATTCCGCACAGAAATTAACAAAACAAGAATTACACTAAAAAGTTGAAAAATAAATATAATTAAAGGTTAATTCCTAAAATCAAATTACAGAACGTGGATGGTTATGATCCCGAAAAGATATTGAAATTGAATTGAAAATGTGAATAGAGATTAACCTGGACGGTTCTGACTATACGATTGATCGCAATAAGAGCGAAGCGCAGTGGCGCGGGACTTGGAGGCTGGGCTTGAAAACGCAGCGAGTTTTTTCGATTTGGAGAGAAGATTCCATATTCTTCTCATTTTTTTGGAGTTGTTTTGTTTTCAAAGTGAATGGAGTTCTTCACTTCGCATTTCTTGGTCGGTTGGTTTGCGTGCTTATGATGATAAGTTGAGAAGGAAGAAAAAATGGTGGATGGTGAGTGACGTGGCTGCTTCCCTGACCACCAGAACAAACAAAATTGAAAAGTGAAATCGAACGTGCGAGTTGTGAGGAAAAATCAAATGAGAAAAATAATTATGACCTTTTTAATCTTTTAATTGTTGAATTTAAAATTTTTTTGAAGTATAATTTAGTTTTAGTAAATGCGCACATCGAACCATTCTATCTTTATATATTAAAAATCCTCGTTATTTAAATGAATGTACTAAAAGAATGCTGAAGAAAAAGAAGAATAAAGAAAATAGATTTGGTTAAGTTCTCCACATAACATTTGTTGCAGCGACAAAGAACCCGTGGCTATTCATTTAATTAACTGTTGTTAATTCTGCTTTTAAGAACTCTCCAAGAACAAAAAATGAAGCAATGCAATTAACCGCACTTACCACCACCCTCTCACGCCTCCAACTCCAAGTCTCACTCCCTCCGGACACCACGAAACGACGCGCCGCCGAACAGACCTGCTTGACGCTCCTCCGCACGTGCGACACGCTCGCCACCCTCACGCGAATCCACGCTCTCATCCTCAAACTCGGCCTCCACCACAACCCTCTGGTCCTCACCAAGTTCGCCTCCACCGCGTCCAACCTCGATGCCGTTCACTACGCCTCCTCCGTCACATTCCCTGACGACCGAAATGACGAAACCACCCCTCAACCGCGCGCCTTCCACGACGCTTTTCTCTTCAACACGTTCATCAGAGCCTTCGCGCAAACGACGCACGCCAAGCCCCGCGCCCTGCGTCTCTACCGCGCCATGCTCCGACACGCCGTTTCGCCGAACAAGTTCACCTTCCCGTTCGTCCTCAAGGCTTGCGCCGGCCTCGCGAGCTTGCCCTTGGGGATGGCGGTGCACTCCGCGGTTGTGAAGTTCGGCTTCGAAGAGGATATCCACGTGCGGAACACCATGATCCACATGTATTGCTGCTGCGATGAAGGGTCTGAACCAAAGTCCGCTGAGAAGGTGTTCGATGAAAGTCCTGTCCGCGATTTGGTGACTTGGAGCGCCATGATTGGAGGGTACGCACGTGCCGGGAATTCCACACGTGCGGTCTCGTTGTTCAGAGAGATGCAGGTATTGGTTAAATTCCAAGGATTTGTCTCACGTAAATTAAAAATATACTCTCTTTTTTTCCCACTTATCTTAGTTATTTTGTAAGAATTTTGTGTTGCTTATATAATGATTAATACTAAAAAAAATATAACTGTTAAATAAAATGGGAAAAAATAAATCCTTTTTTATATTAATAAGACACAATATGACCTTGATGAAAGTCTTAAATAAATGTAACAAAACAAATTAGAATCACAGGATTTGTATTAGATTGAAGCCCATTTTCAATTATGCATTATAATCAATGGATTTGTTATTTCTTTTGACCTTAAATATGAGTTTGACCCCCAAGACTTTTAGTCTTTAATAAAAATTTTCTCCATTTTTTGCTGTTAATTTTTTTTTTTATATTTGATCTTTGTCATTAGATAGCATATTTTAACTTCATCCATCATTATATGATTAAAAATATATTGATTATTGCGATAAAAAATTCTAAAAGATCGAAAGAGAAATTTAATTATATTTTAGGATTCACTTCAAAAAAATATTTTTTTTTCAAATATCAAATGCAGAATTTATAAATATTTTAAGAACCAAAATCAAGAAAATTTATCAAGGACAAAGTGAAAATTCATAAATTTTTCAAGAACTAAAAATATATTTTTTTCGTTTTTTTATTTTTCCTTCACTGATTAGAATCAAAGAAATTGAAAAATTATAAAATGGTACAACATTGAAAAGAAATTGAAGAATTGAGTCCAAGAAAAAATGCTGGGACAGACTCTTTTCTCGAATAATTAAAATTTGTTAAAAAATTATAAAATTGTGAGTCCACTCCTTATTTTATAAACCTCTCTCATAACTTTGTATATGTTTTTGCTGTTACTCCTCTTCTAAACTTATCCTCTCTTTTTTTAATTTTTCCCCTCTTATTTTATAAACCCCTATCATAGTTTTGTATATTGTTTTCTTAGCACTTCTCCTTCTAAATTTATCCTTTTTATAGTTCCATTACTTTATTTCTCATTTACTTGCTGCATCTCCTCCATATATTTGACTTTTTCATTAGTTAGTTTACAATATTCCAAATCAGCGCCTTTAGAAACAAATAAAAACAAATGAGGAAGGATGTAACAATTTTAAAAGAATTATTCTGCATTTTTACTCTTTAATTTATTTTAATCTAGTGGTAGTAATAAATATTTTTTTTTAATATTAGACTAAAATATAATGATTGGTAGAGGAGGAGAGGAAATCTTTTTAAGTTATTATTGGAGAATCTTCCTGTCTTCTTATTTTATGAGATATATAGTTTAGCAGTTTTGTTTATTTCTTGTTTAAAATCATTTCATTGATCACTATATATAATCTATATGATTTTTTTTCTTTTTAAATGTTAGATTAAAAGATAAGGAATGGTAGAGAAGAGGAAATCTTTTAATGTTATTCTTGGAGTATCTTCCTCTCCTTATTTTATGAGATATATAGTTAGAAGTTTTGTCTATTTCTTCTTCAAATCACTATATAATATAATCTATATGAAAATTTGAAATTATTTCTCGTTATTTTTCAATCTTAAGATTAGATGCAAATTATGATTTGTGATTCAAAAATTAGCTCAGCGATTTCACAATATAATTATCGATTTGATATGATAACGTTGATACAGGTAACAGGGATGTGTCCTGACGAGATCACCATGGTTTTGGTTTTGTCTGCATGTGCTGATTTGGGTGCGCTTGAGTTGGGGAAGTGGTTGGAGTCTTATGTTGAGAGGAAAAACATAACGAAGTCTGTGACGTTGTGCAATGCAATGATAGACATGTTTGCGAAGTGTGGTGATGTTGATCGAGCTGTGAAAATTTTCAGGGAAATGGAAACGAGGACCATAGTTTCATGGACTTCGGTGATTGTTGGTTTAGCAATGCACGGTCGCGGATTGGAGGCGGCTTCTGTTTTTGATGAGATGGTGGAACAAGGGGTGAAGCCTGATGATGTTGCTTTTGTTGGGGTTCTTTTTGCTTGTAGTCACTCAGGACTGGTTGATAAGGGGCATTACTATTTCAAAACCATGGAGAATAGGTTTAACATTGTGCCAAAGATTGAGCACTATGGCTGCATGGTTGATATGTTGAGTAGAGCAGGGCTTGTGAATGAGGCTGTTGAGTTTGTTCGAACCATGCCAGTTGAGCCAAACCAGGTCATATGGAGAAGCATAGTCACTGCTTGCAATGCTCGTGGGGAGCTCAGGCTCGGTGAGAGCATGGGGAAGGAGCTAATCACGAGCGAGCCAATGCATGAGTCTAACTATGTGCTGCTGTCAAACATTTACGCAAAATTGATGCGCTGGGAGAAGAAGACCAAGGTTAGGGAGATGATGGATGTGAAGGGGATTAGGAAGATTCCAGGGAGCACCATGATTGAGATGAATAATGAAATATATGAGTTTGTTGCTGGGGATAAGTCACATGATCAGTACAAAGAGATTTATGAAATGGTGGAGGAGATGGGAAAGGAGATTAGGAGAGCAGGTTACGTGCCTACAACATCACAGGTGTTACTTGACATTGATGAAGAGGATAAGGAAGATGCTTTGCATAGACACAGTGAAAAGCTTGCTATAGCTTTTGCTCTTCTAAGTACACCCCCTGGAACACCCATTAGAATTGTGAAGAACTTGCGTGTTTGTGAAGATTGCCATTCTGCTACTAAGTTTATTTCTAAGGTTTATAGCCGAGAAATTGTGGTGAGGGACCGCAATCGCTTCCATCATTTCAAGAATGGTTTGTGTTCCTGTGGAGACTTCTGGTAACAGATTGGTAAGAGCCATCCTAGATTTTCTATTCACTTGTTGAAGCCTGAAAGCTTTTCAATGTTTTGATCATGTGCTAAATCATGTTTGAAATAGGCACCGGCAATGTTTTTGATCATGTACTAAAACCCTTTTAAAAAATATAAATTTTGGTAATTTAATTTAGGATACAAATATAGAGTCTTATCATTTAAGTTTCTCATTTCCCAAATTCAAGCATATATTACTTACTGGCCGTGTCTTGTTCTAGCTGCACTATCGACGCCATTGAATATGCAATTGCGGACATTCACATGTTGTACCAATTCTTCTTCTAGGCTGTAGACCCCTAGTTTTGCCCGGCCTCTCAAAATAAAGGCTAGGAAAACTTCACACGAAAATAAAGTTCACCCGGCTTCATATCAAAAACCGAGAAAGACCTCCCGCAACAAGACGGAGTTCACCCATCCACACAATAAAGACTAAGGAGACTTCCTACACGAAGATAAAGTTCGCCCGGAATCTCGATAAAAGTCAAGAAGACTTCCTACATGAAGATAAAGCTTCAACGGACATCTATCGGCATCGATCTACGTCCGAAAAAGGAAAGGAAAGCTTCCCGGGAGTACCAGAACGCGAAAACAGGCCAAAACAAGTTGGGACAGCCGTCCCAAATTTGGGACAGCCGTCCCAAACATCAAGAGACAAGTGAGACGCACGTCTCACCTTTGGGACGCACGTCCCAAGCCACAAATTTCAAGTGGGACGGACGTCCCAACCCAAACTGGCCGTCCCACTCTTCCCCTAGCTTGGCCCAATGCAAAATGTGCAGTTGGGACGGCCGTCCCAACCCAGACGGCCGTCCCAGATTTCCAGGCAGCGAGATCTATAAATAGGAGGCTCATTTGTCATTCTCCACACCCCAGACAACTCCAAGACTTGTCTTCTTCTCTCCCTCCTTCGAATGATCTCTCTGATTGCCTTTAATAGGTAACAATCAGTTAAGGAATTTGTATTCCGACATTCGATTCTTCAGTAAAATTTTAGTCGAGTCGATATTATTTTCGAGAGGAGAGTCGTTGTAGAGCGAAGGATTGCCGCAAAGCATCCTCTGTGTAAAAGACTTATAATATAAAGCTTGCTTCGGAGGTTCTTCTCAATTCTCTTCCCTTTTACTGCTTTATTTATTGCTTTCTGTATGCAATGTAGATAAAATCATGTAGATAACCATATTTAAATACTGTATGAGTGTTGAGCGCCTCGGAAGCAATGAACATATTTTTAACAAAAAACGCGAGTCTTAACCATCTTTTCGCGACCGCTCGCATAAACGTTCGAGATGTCCCTGGACATCGGAACGGACGGCGGCGACATAGACTCCCCACACTGTATCAAAAATTGATGAGAGCGATTATTCATTCATAAAACTTTAATTTTTGGTAAAAACGCAGACTACGTTTGCATCTCTAACAAAATGTAGACTGTGGAATAAGTTTCTAAATTTAAGTTTTTCATTTCGCTAACAGTTCGTGAAAACAACTTTCTTTTAACCTTTAACTCTAAACTCAGTTTCAAGATAAAATTATACTAAAACTCAATTCTAAATTATGCTCAACTTGAACACAAACATGATGGTTTTTTCAGTTTTACCTTTTTAACATACTTGAGGTCTTTATTTATGAGTCTTCAATGAAATGAGATCTCTTCGATTTATAATATATGTGTACAAATGAGATGATCACTCTCCTACACAAATGAGATGTTTTCCACGTGTTTTTTAACTCTCTTATGTATAAATTCCTTTATAACAAATATCCATTATTCTCTGTAAGAATGTTTTAAAACATGACTTGGAAAGACTGATCGACCCACATCTGAACCTATTACTGGATCAAGTTTAATAGCAGTCTTTCAATCTTTCTTTTTCTTTGTTTCTGCACCACTCTGTCACATGCTATGCCTACAACCTTGTCCTAGGAACCTTTGGTTCTTGTTGTTCACATCTTCAATACACTTGATTCAAAGTACAAAATTTAAAAATAAATTTGCTTAAGTTAATAACTAATATGATTTTTATCAATGAAATAATATTTTTATTTAGTTTATCCATGTAAGATCTCATTTTATATCATAATACCTATCATTTTATAAAAACGTGACTGTCTTTAACGTAAGGATTAGGATTAAGGTTATAATAATGTAACCTGATGTCCCCTCCTAACCTCCACCAACAACTACTGCAATGTTCCCAGTCACTGGAATTCCTTCTTTATTCAAAGGGGCGTTTGTAGCCACATCAACATGCATTCCACATTTATGATAAATCAAATGTAGGACTTCATATTCTACGTGAAACCAGCAATTTCAAAACCAAACCCTACCCCACAATAAGTTTGTTTAGGTCAATTTTCCATGCAAACCAGTGTAAACATACCTCTTAAATCATCACGAGGTTTCCTTACCATTGCAACTAAGACCAAAAGAACACGTTCATCGTAGTATTCAGGCATACATTTAGAAACATATTCATACCAATACCATTGTTTTGTCTTTTTTTTCCCAAATCAAACTTCACGGTATGAAAAACTATTCTTGATATTTACTAATTTCAAACCCCTGAAGAGGCTTTCATATAAGTAACGTACGATTGGCCTGGGACCTTATAACAAAGAGCACTGATTTATTCACAATCCTATTCATCCATATATCCAATCTACAATTCTCTATTATAATAATAATAATAATAATAATAATAATAATAATAATAATAATAATAATAATAATAATAATAATAATAAATATATAATTTAAAAAGTTTTATTGCGAGGAAAGTGTCTTATCATTTTCCTATAACAAAATGAAATTGGGAACCAACCCCACCACCCGAATGAAGTGCCTCCAATAGAGGAGACAAACTATTCTTTGAAGCCTCTATCAAGAGGTCACTAAGTCTTTCTTTTTAATATTTTTTTTACAAACAAAAAAATTTATCCTTTTAATTATTAAATAATAATAATAATAATAATAATAATAATATTAAAATGGAGTGCTTTAAATATTCGTAAGTATATATCAAAAAGTAATGGAATATCCTACATTGTTATTATTATATTTTAAATGATATATCCTACATTAAAACACAACAAAAAAATTTAAAAGATAATGGAATATCCCTTTTTTGTTGAATAAATTTTGTAAACTTATCCAAAACTTAAAGAAAAATAGCCAAGTTAGTAATTGGGCAGGACTAGTTATTGGAAGTCATAGTGGTCTTGGTTTTAGAGAGCTAAGTTTCAAGATTATGAACTTTTGTTTCAAAAACATAATAAACATCCCATCACTAACGAGGGTGGCACCTCAAAGTCGAATATTGATTTCCTTTTAATAAAACTGTTGATAAACGTGGGATTGTCATCCCAACTATATATCTATAAAAAGTTTAAATTAGTAAATCTATCGAATCTCATTTAACTCAAGTGAAAAGGAATATTTTAGATTAAAAAGAGAAGTAAATTTTGAAACCTAGGAAAGAGAAAAAGAAGATAAAATTGTTATTTAATAAACCACCTTAATAAAATTATGATTTCTACTTCGTTTATAATTAGATCGGACTGAAATTTTGACAACAAATTCACAATATACAATTCTTTATTTTAGCCGTTGAGATTGTTGAAGGTCTGCGGTTGAAAATATCAATTTTACGTTGTGTCCAATTTGGGGTTTTTCTTTCTTTACTCTTTAAATTTGAGATTATTGTTTTGATGTATTGACTACTTATAAATACTTGTTTGTGTATTTGATTTGACTTTCTTTACTTATATTTGATATTAGTAAAACTTGATTGACTAGTTTGTGGATATGGACTTTTACTTTTCATCTTGAAGGATTTTTACATGTTACAAATTTGTGTGTTTTCTTTTGTGATAATTCTATTTTCTATTATTGTTTCTCAAATATTTTTACAAGTTTAGGAAAATTATTTTTCTCAGTTCTTAGGAAAATTATTTTTCTCAGTTCGGTATTTTTTATTGTTGTGTTCCTATGAATAAAAGAATGATTGTTAATTTTAAAAGACATAAAAAAACTTAACCATTAATTCCCTTAATCAAATTATGGTAGCTTAAGGGAATTAAACATTTGATTTGAAGAAAAATTTGTTGAAGGAAAGTAGAATAATAAGTTAATGTTAACCTCGTTTGTGAAGACATGTTTAGAGAGATTAGGAAGGTTGCTATAATAGTCTTGCCATAACACATGAAATTTGGAGTGGAATGAAAGTTTTGAAGATAAATGGGACATTTGTTACCAGTTATGCTTTTATAATTTTTTGGAATGTGTGTAAATTTGCCAAAATTAGAGAAAAGAAACTAAGAGATTCCAATCAAGAAGATAAAGAAGGAAAAGTTTTGGTCATATATTAAGATATCAAAAAGACAGAAGAAAAAAAAAATGTTTATAATGGTCTATTATCAACAATGATCAACTCATGATATGGAAAGACTAGACAAACAAGGAGGAAATAGAATTTGAATTTGAGAGTTAAAAAAAATAAAAGAGGTGAATAATGGCTAAGCTTTAGATGTAGATGATATTGTATTGAAGTTTGAAAGTGTGTAAAAGAGCACCATATCGTTGGATTCAGTAGGTCACCAGGGGTAATACGATTGAAATATAAGAAACCAGATGAATGAAAGAGGAACAATTTGTTTCCTATATTTACGAACAGGAGATATATTCATAAATGTGTAGTCTACAAAGATTGAAGTTACAAGTTGCATTATGAAATTATGGCAAAAAATATATAAATTAAAAGAGATAGGATTATCATCATAATTTTGTTATATTCTTTTATTAAGCTTTTGACTTAAGTTGGTAGGAAGTAGACAATATAAATTCGTTTGGATGATGTAAACACTTCTAGAAAAGAAAAATAAATAAATAAGTTAAATTTTCAATAAATTTATGTGAAGTTTAGATTAACTTAAATGAATAAGTAATTAGTACAAAAGTTTTGCATAATTTCTTTAAATTCTTATTTATTTAACTTACATATAAATTAATTTTAAAGTATGGAAAAATATATTTTCTAAATTCTTATTTCTAACTAATATATAAGTTAATTTTAACTTATAACGATATATTTAAACAAATTTCTCTGCAAGAATTTAAAAAAAATAGAAATATGAAAAATGAAATTAAACTAACATCTACAAACATTAAAATTAATGTACTAAAACTCTTTCATATAAATTTTCTAAATATTTATCTTTAAATTGTGCATAGTAAATATATATATATATATGTGTGCTAAATATATATAGAGAGAGAAAAGACAAATCTTTTATATTTTTTTCTTCTAAAAGTATTTTTAAATACTAGAGCCCAAATATTGAAAAGCATACATTCTATGGCACCAAACAATGATATTAAACTTCCAACCAATTGAAGTGCTAGAAGATTATAAATCCATAATACAATAAATAAATATCCATAAATTCACGAGCCGTCATCGGCAAAACCATAATAACACCGATATACCGCTCTAACTATAATATTCCCTCCAAAAATCTATAAAACTACAAGGACTCAACAATGGCTTAGTCAATTGATTTGTCAACAAACTGAGAGATGCTTTTAGTCTACAAGAGTTACCATCCAAGCTGTTCAAGCATTATCCCTCTTGACCTTCCTAAGATGGCACTGCAAAACCCAATTCAAGGAAACCATGTCATACTTGGAAACAACGGTATAAAATAAAACACAAGAACCAAACAAAAGGTCAAGCAAAAATGACAGTAGAAGTGTCAATATATCTTGTACACAAAAAGCTTGGCATTAAAATAAATATTAAAGAAAACATACTGTAGGAAGCTGTATCGATCTGCTCAGGAAGCTGCTTTATATCCACTTCAAACCTGGACTGAACCTGAAATTCACAATAAACAAAATGAATATTGCCAATTGACGCAACATTAGCATTATGAATAGACGATCACATGAAGCCAAAAATTGAGCAAAGAATTATGATGGAAGATACTACAGTAATTGGTGGACACATGGCAGTTATGTTAGAACGCTACTAATTCTAAGGTGGCTGCATTTTTTTCATAACAATGCCCAGAATTAGAAGTGACAAAAAAAAAAAAAAAAAAATAAACTAAGTTTCTTACATTGTTGAGAACATCAACATCAGTCGAACATGAAACAAATGTAATTGCAAGGCCTTTGGTTCCAAATCTTCCAGCACGGCCAACCTGTTCGGAAATTTTACCAAAAAGAAATGACAATTAGATGGCACTGGAGAAGAATAGAGGAGCATAAAACAAATTTTGTTGGAAAAACTTAAAAAAAGGATAGATTGTCTAATCATACCCTGTGCAAGTATGTATCAGCAGAATCCGGCATATCATAGTTTATGACAATATTCACACGTTCAATGTCGATTCCCCTTCCAACCAAATCTGTTGCCACTAGAATTCTTGTATGACCCTCCTTAAAACCTTTATAACGCTTTAACCTACACGCAAGCCAGAAATCAGATCAGACACAATTTACCAGTGCAAAGAATTGTTCTTTTGCGACAAAATTCATCATCAACAAGGAAAAAAGAAACAGAAGCCTAACAGCTTCTATCAGTGAGCAATACAAACAGAAGCATATTGTATGAACACAATAATTATAGACTGTTGAATCATCAATTATAAACAATGAAGACTGATTTGTCAGCATACTTTCATATCACATAATAGCAATACATACCGTTCTTCCTGAGACATTCCAGAATGAATGCAAATAGATGGAAAGTTGCACTCTCTAAGTAGTTTGTCCAGTTCTGCTGCTCTACTAACACTTTTCACAAAAATAACAATTTGATTGAAGTCCAGTGCATCAAGAAGGTCGTTCAACTTCCTGTTCTTCTCCTCCTCTTTCAACTTGATGTAGTGCTGCCATTTCAACAATCAACATAAACCACACAGCACATAACTTACCAATATTTGGCAAAACATGAACGAGCAAATAATGTAATTTCGAAAAAGGTCCACCTGCACAAGTCCATGAAGGGTCAACTTTGCTTCATCATCAACATAAATTTCCATTGGCTGAAAGGAACAATGACACAGTAAATCATATTAGGAGCCTTCCTCAAGCTAATGGAATCCAGAACGAAATCAATGATGGATGTGGATCCTTGAATCACAGTTCTGTTCCATTTATTTTGTCTCCTTGAAGATACTTTTAAGTCACACCATGCAACACTGACACTCTTAAGAGATCACTAGCAACAACGTTCCCACAATACACTAACAACCCTGTCCCCCAAAGCTGTGACAAATAGAGAATATCCTAAGTTGTGAAAAACCATATCAGACAGACAGGCTTTTGGAGACAAAACTAACTTCCAATGTGAAACAAATGGGGAAACGTATAGAACAGAGAACATACAAACTTAATCAGGAACTTTCTAAAATATTCCCAACCAGATCTACTACAGACACTCAGCTATAGCTACCCAACCACACTCCACACCACAAGTTGTTTTCATAAAACCGGATAAAGGAACAAAAACACTATTCAGACTGAACCCATATCATCATAAGTAATTTTTTATGATACCACGGCAATCTAAATATCTAAAATGCTCTCAGGGAATTCAGGCATTAAGAAAAGAGACTTCTAATAAGTAGTACTGTCCATGGGGCATTACATCTTGCATAAATTTTTTGCAGACAGGTCGTATTTCCTTGCTGAGTGTTGCAGAAAACATCATAACTTGCTTATCATGGGGTGTCATCTTGAAAATAGCTTGGACGTCTTTCCTCATGTCTGTAGAATTGATTATGGAAACAAAGAAAACCAAATTAAAATCAAGGGAATTCCAAAAGTTTGATGCAAGTTATAAGATTGATAGTTTTTGAAAATTCAACATACCCAGAGATTCTAGCATCTTATCACATTCATCCAAAATGAAATGCCTAACATTCTTCAAAGAAAGGTCCTTATCCCTCGCCAATCCAAGTATTCTTCCAGGTGTACCAACAACAATACTAGGACATTCATTCTTCAATAGATCCTTGTGAACTTTAATGTTGACACCACCATAAAAGACAGCAACCTTCAGATCAGGTAGGTAGGTGCTAAACCTTTCAAATTCGTTGCATATCTACATGGAAGATATTGCACAGATATCTAAAATCAGAAGCTAATCAAATACAAAATTCCATAATATTTCAAGTGCTAAGCATAAATGAATACCTGGTATGCTAATTCCCTTGTATGACATAGGACAAGTGCAGAAACTTGCCCTGCAACAGGGTCAATCTGCTGCAGGGTAGAAAGAACAAATACAGCAGTTTTTCCCATTCCAGATTTAGCTTGACAAATCACATCCATTCCAAGTATAGCTTGAGGTATGCACTCATGTTGCACTGGTAGTGACCATAGAAAATAGATGTCCAAGGAACCGGTGGTAAGTAAAACAAACCTTTGAGAGATTTACCAAAGCATAGATCATGATAAAAATATTACCTGTAAGATAAAAATTGAAAAATACACAAGTTCAGTAAAATTGTGATTTTTATAAATAGCATCGGCATAAAAAATAAGATCACTGTAAGGATTAAATGAAAGTTAAGCAATCTCACAAGGATGGAAAAGCAAAATAACTTGGGGAAGTCCCCAAACTCTAGACAAACACGTAAATATACCCTGACATAGCCTAGGGGAGGTAACCACATACACAAGAGCAGTGCACAAGGGATGCCCACTAATGGACCCAGGAGGGGATAACATAAAATAAAAAAACATAGCGTTAAACATACAATATTTAATATTCTTCAACACAACAAAAATATATCTCACAAGGATGGAAGAGCAAAATAACTTGGGAAGTCCCCAAACTATAGACAAACACGTAAATATACCCTGACATAGCCTAGGGGAGGTAACCACATACACAAGAGCAGTGCACAAGGGATGCCCACTACTGGACCCAGGAGGGGATAACATAAAATAAAAAAAGCATAGCTTTAAACATACAATATTTAATATTCTTCAACATAACAAAAATATATCTCATAATAAAAAAATCATATTATATAAATTGTTCAACAATCAATATTTTAAAACATAAGCATAAATTTGATTTCAAATTAATAGTTCCAATTTCATTTTCTTGCCCATCACCCAATTTATACCCAAATGTACCTAAATTGAGTATTTTTTCTTGAATTTTTTTTGTGTGGTATATACCCACAAACACCCAACACGTGCATACATGATACATGTTCAACAAATTTGTAATGTGGAGATTGACCAAGATGACCATGGTGGTTTGGTTTGCGGACATGTAATAATTTCTTGTGCTTCAAAGGTCAAACAATTTTATTTCAGACCAAATAATAGTAACAAGTCAGGTTGATTTAGTTTAGGGAAACTCTTGGATGCATATAAAAATCATGAATGATCGGTTTGGGAAACTTTTGGATGCATATAAAAAATCATGAATGATCAAATAAGTCTGGTGCAAAATGTTTCAAATCTGACATCTGATCTAATTTGTTCGGGTTAATCCAACCCATGATCACCTCCAACAAAAACTTAAAAAAATTAAAAGCTTTTGAAAACAATGATTGAAACCCACTTAAATCAAAGATGAAGATAATTCACCTTCAGAAGGGTGTTCAAATCCAGAGTCCACAATAGCTCGAAGAAGCTCTGGTTTCAGCAAAAAATCTCTAAATCCTGAACTGTGAATTCCAACATAACCCCTGGCAAAAACAAAAATTAGAAAAATTAAAAAAATAAAAATTAAAAAATATTTGACTAAAGAAGATCATAAAAAACGTAACTTTATTTAGGATTATTCTCGTCCGGTTTAACCTCATTACGAGCAAAAAACTTTAACCCAACAACAAAAACTTAAAGAATGCAAAAATTAATTGTAAACAAAATATCTTTCATAAATATAGATGAAACATTTCAAAAGTTGACATTAGAAATCTTTCATACAAAAACTATAGCCAATTAGCTCACTTCTTTACAGCTTCACCGTTGACTTTATTAGCACTTTCAGGCTCCTTTTCTTCTTCGTCTTCATAGTCAAGAAGGTCCTCATCGTACGGTTCAGTCTTTGTATCTCCCATTAGCTACAATTCAACACAACACATTATAAATTCAGTTGCAACCACTGTTTCAAACAAACAAATACTCAAAGAATAAAAAAAAGAAAAAAAAAAGTAGAGCTAGGGTTTAGGCGCGTAACAGTGTGAGATAAAGAGTTTTAGGATTCTGAAAAGTACCTCAGTAGAAGGAGGGGAAGGGTTTCCGCAAAGGGAATTTTGGAACTTTTTGGGGAAGAGGCAATGAGAGATGAAAGATGGCACGTTTGGATGATAATTGTTTATAATAAAAACACTAACAGGTGAAAAAAAAAATCATGTTTTGATAGATATTTTCTAAATGTTTAAAAAAATATTACATATTAATAAACATTTTCCAAGGGTGAAAAACACGTCAATGACCCTATCCACATTGTTTGTTCAATAGTTAACGTTAATATATATATTATAAATAAATATTTATTATAATATTAATTTATATATTATTACAAATATTTATTTCATGAGTTAAATCTACTATAATCCTGACTTTAATCTATTTTATGAGAAAATTATGAAAATCAGTTTTTTTTTAACTAGTTAATTAAATCACTTAATAAAATAAAAATTAGTTTAATGACAAGTAGAGTCATAAAGTGTGAGGTCTGACTTAAGAATAAAAATGGTATAAAAACATTAAATTTTATTGAGTAGGCTAAAAAAATTATTGATAAAAAATTCATTCATTTAAATCTAATTCTTATAAAATTACTGTATTTTTATAATTTTTTTTCTCTCTAAATTTTTTACTTCCTTTTTTTTTTATATATATTTTTAGATCTAAGTACACTTTAGGGCTTCTAAAGGAGAAAATATCTTAATCAAAATTTTAAATAAAGTAAGACTTTTCTTAGATCATTTTTTCATATTTTGGTTTGAGGGACTTTATATAAGCTTTGTTGTGAAAAGGTGAATCTTACCTATTTTAGCAACATTATGATATACTCAATTTGATATTTGGGATTTTCTGTGAACTAGATCTATCATCCAGAAAATTTAGGAATTTTTTAGGTTCTCTACTTAGCGTTAAGATAACAGAAGTTAGTTATTATTTATTTTTTCATATTACTCTTGACTAGAAGATCTAGATTGTGAAGGTGACTTAGTCACGTTGTTTGAGTTTGAGGATTGTGTATGTGTTGATTTATGATAATTATATTGAATGTGAATATGTAATGGATTTCAAGATTGAAAATGATATATATATATATTTTTTATGAATGTATGGTTCTTAGATTGAGTTTAGTGAATTGATTTATAATTTGGAGAGTAATGTATACATTAATTTAATTTTGAACATTAGAAATATGGTATAGAACATATTATATAGTCTATTGCCATCACGAATCCACTTAGCAAGGTTAAAAATACTTAAATTTCACTTAGTATTGCTCAACGCTTTTAAATTCGCTAACTCGTTTTCGAAAAATCATAGAAAATAACTTTAAACTCTAAATTATATGTTCTATATATGCAAATCAAAACCTTAAAAATAAGGAATTTAATAAAATAAAAATTAGTTAAAAAAGATGTTGATAAGTTGTCATTGACGCTATTCAATAATATTACTTAACTATAACAACTCGAGTATAGCTAAGCTAGTAACCAAAAATTTAGAAAGGGTAAAGTTAACTCAAAGTAGTATCATAACGAATATGGAGATTAATTCTTATAAAACATACACTAAGGATTAAGAAAACAAAATACAAATAATAAAAGAAAAAAATAAAGATATAACCTAATGCAATTAAAATAACTAAATATAAATGGGATACAAAATATGCAAAAGATAATATGTCCATATAAATACGTTTAATACTACTATATAGCAAAGATGAATTTTTGGTATGCAAGTAATAATTATCGTATGAAAATAAATTAAATAGCAAAGAAATAAATCACTTAAAATAATAATTATGAAATAGGTTGATTCTACTTGCTCTTTTTCAAAATAGGATTTTTCATTGGTTTCCTAAATATTATTGGTCAATTGATTATTGTCTTAGATTTTCAAATTTATCAATGTAACTTCTCAATTAATTTGTTAGCGTCCTCACAATTAATGAAAGTAACTTCTCAGTTAAAAATAATAACTTTTTTTTATCAATCATAGCAAATTTAACCAAAATAACTTCTCAATTAAATATTAATGTACCTAATCATGTCTATTTTTTTTCCTCTTTTGTAAAGTTAAAAGCGAATTAACTAAAGTAATTTCTTTAATTTTAACTAAAGTTTTCACCTTTTAATCAAAGTAACTTCTCAATTATTAGTAAAAACTCATTCAACCACATGAAAGATTGTAAAGTTAATCAAAGTGACTTCTCAAGTAAAATTAAAAACCATATGACTCATATGATTATAGATTTAACATTGTGCTAACATGCTACAATGTAAAAATAATTACTTTTACATGATTGAGAGATAAAAGACATATATAATAATAAATAACAATAATTATGGCATTTTTTTTATTTGTCAAGGGTAGCAAGTAAAATAAAGATATTCTATATACGTAAAAGTAATTTATATTACTATTTTTTTACAGGATATATAAAAGAAGAAGAAATTTTATTTGTTTTTTATTCCTTCTATTCTTACTACAATTATACAAATATTTACATTGCGGTGGAAACAAACTGATTTTTGGTAAATGATAAGAGGCATGTAAAAAGTGACCACTATTGGTCCATCTAGCATGATGGAAGTTCCCATATCGGATACAAATATCAATACTAATAACTCTGTCCCTTTAAAAGTAATTGAGTTGTCAATAACGTTTATCTTCTTGGAAAGAAGACAATGTTGCCAAATAATATATTATTAATAAATAATAAATAAATATAGAAGGAAGAAAGAAGATGAAAGGGTGAAAGGATAAAATTGTAGATATATACTTAAATATATTAAATGATCATTAAGTTTGAGGAAAATAAAACCATAAATTATATGAGAGTTACAAAACTAAAGAGGGGTTGAGAGGATAAAATTATAAATATAAGTAAATATATTAAATGTTCATTAAGTTTTAGGGGTCAAAATCATAAATTATATGAGAGTTACAAAACTTTGGAGAGGGGGCATGACCCCTCAGCTCCCAAGAAGATCCGCCACTATTAGCGCCTTCCATCTACTTAAGTTGATATTTAAATATAACATGCACAAAAGATCACAATAGGGAGTGTGAATAATTATCATTTAAAAATTATATATATATATATATATATATAATATTTTTCAACTTTCTCAACACATTCTATGTTATGAAGATTTAAATTAAATTTGTAATGATTAGTTAGGATAAATGAACCAAATTTTTTTAACCACGTTCTTTGTGATAACTACTCATTTTAACCCCCAATGTTCAACCTCCATCTACAATATCATTAAATCTTCATAAGTAGATATTATTATAAAAAAATAATTAAATAATATAAATATAAATTAATAAATAGAACTAGTGCATTACTAGAGATAAAATAAATAAGCCCAATGTAGGATCTGAAGATAAATAAATAAATAAAGATAAGGCGAGAACCAACACGTAAGTGAAGATAATTAAAATATGATCAGTACAAGATTGGAGATAAATAAACATAAAATAGGACCAGTACATAATTGAAGATAATTAAAATAGGACAAGTGAAAGATTGAAGATAAATAAATAAAGATAAGGCAATATCAACTCGTAACTGAAGATAATTAAAATAAGACCAGTGCAGAACTGAAAATAAATAAATAACAAAATAAATAGAATGAAGTTAATGATACCTCATTCCACAACTATAATTAAAATAAAATAGATAAAATGATAATATTCTCCTCCCCTACCTCAATATTGTAGATGATACATCAAAATTTGTTTCATAATTGTTTCTTTTTTCTTCTTCTCTTCTCTCTCTCCTTCTCTTCTCTCCCTCTCTCTTTTCTTCTCTTCCTCTCTCTTTTTCTTCTCTCCCTTTCTTACTTTTTTTTCACCACCCCTCACCCCTCTTTATAGTAATATTTTTATTTTTTCATTAATGATTCTTATCCTTTTATTAAATTAATATTATCTTTAGTCTTTAGTCAATTAAAACTCATCTCTTCTTGTGCGAAGAGATAAGAAATGCTATTCTTTTTTTTGCATATTAATAATATATAATATAATAATTATATAATTATTAATTCATATCATATCTATATATTTTAATTATAATAGTATATATTAATAATAATTTCATAATGTATTATAATAATTATTATTGTTAATTTCATATATATATATATATATATATATATATATATTCTAATTAATAATTATTATTTTATTATTATTTTAATAAATATATTTTTATTATTATTATTTTATTTATTTTTATTTTTTTATAATAGTTTAACAATAATATATATATATATATATAAATATTTTCATTTATTTATTTACATAAATGAATCTTTTTAAAATTATTTAAATTACCTAAAATATTATTTAATACATTATATTTGAAGAAAATTTTACATTAATTTTTAAATGTTACAATAATAATTAAAGAGCAAACAATTTATTCCATTCTAACTTCAGAATCTAGTTAAGAAATTATAGTAGAATTAATCTCAGAGGCTTAGTACACATCATGAATGAATGGTAAAGTGAAAGAATGAAAGAAAAGGTGAAAAAGAGAGTGGAAAGAAGGGAAAAGGCGTAGTGGATGGGTATTGCACAAAATTAGGGTTATTAAGTTTTTCCTTTGTACCACCACTAGGTCTTCTTATATAGGAATTGAGTTAAGCCTTTTTTTTCCTACAATTTTTATTATTGAAATCTTCTTTTTGTTGATGTAATCTCCACCATTATCATAATTCTAATATCTAATTTATCTTTTTGGTTGTTTGAAGATTTAAAAAGATTTGAGAAGATTTTGTTCGATTTAAAAAGATTTGTCACTTTCTATCTTTTGATATTTTCTAACACAAATAAATAAAAATTATTTAAAAATATCAAA